CTTGCTCTCCTCCTCCTTCTTGCTCTCCTCCTCCTCCTTGCTCTCCTCCTCCTTCTTGCTCTCCTCCTCCTCCTTGCTCTCCTCCTCCTTCTTGCTCTCCTCCTCCTTCTTGCTCTCCTCCTCCTTCTTGCTCTCCTCCTCCTTCTTGCTCTCCTCCTCCTTCTTGCTCTCCTCCTCCGTGTTGTTGACAACAACCTCCAGCTCCCTCTCCTCCTCCACAAAAGGCTCTGCAGGCCACTGAGAGTCTTCCAGATCATGCTCATACACCTCTGCTGGAAAAGAACGTGCATTCTTCCGAGAAACAACTGGAACCCCCTGCTCACCCCCAGTCTCGAAGTGCTGTGTTGCTCCCTCTTCCTCCTCTTCTTCAGGTGCCTCAAACTGCTCAATCATCTCAATCTCTTCTTCCTCCTGCCCACTTTCAGAAGCCTCTTCAATTGGATCATCGTCACAAACTTCTTCCTCAAAGGCTTCACCCAAATGCATAGGCAGAGTCTCTATGTTGTCTGGATGCTGATCTTCCCTCTTGCTTTTCTTTGCTCCACCTGCCAAGCTAAAGTATGACAGCGCAACATGCATCCATTCGCATATATGCATGCATGCATGGCCCGAATATCATTACAGCACTGTTGGCATAGATCAGAGAATGAAATAATCTATCTACCACACAACTTCTATCATTATAATATAACTGACCCATTTCTTTAACTGAAATACTGGCCTGCAACATGAAGTTCTTCCTCCGGACTCTTAAGCTCCTCCCAATAAAAATGATCCAACATAGATCAATCATGAGGAGTCATAAGACACATAAGACATAAGAGATGTGGTTTTCAAGAGTGCAACAATCCCTGTCCTGGACAGAGGTCGATCTACCTCTTGTAGCAAGTTTCTTGCCCTCCTTCGTGAGTTTGCCAGTAGCCTCCATCAGGAAGCAATGCTATTTATTCGATGAATGATGCCGATCAATGCAAAAGTTTTGCCCACATGCCCAAAATTGCATGTAGTGCATGTGCACATGAATGAGCCTCCAATTTGGCCCTGACTATGGCTTTGAGCTTGGCCATGGAACTGTTTTGTTTCCTCCCCACCAGGCAAAGGCAGTGATTCCAACAAACTGCACTGCTAGGCCTTCATATGCATGCATCTGATGCGATGATTTAATCACAACAAAAATAAGTCCTTGCACTTGGATTCCGCTGGAATCGCGTCATGCAGTACATGGCCATGGCCCTTTGTGTGCCCGCTTCGATTTCAGCCCATCCCTTGAATGCAAAAATTGATGCATGCAAAGCACACAAAGCATGTACACCCACACATATGCAAAGATCATATCGTTTTGAACGAACATTATCAATTTAATTTGCCAAGATACAACGTGATCACGGTGACAATCAAAGGAGGGGTTCAAGTTGTAGTGCTCAGACACATAGATCAAGGCTTCCTACAGATACATGCTAGCTCTTTTGGAGTCTCTTTTGGATAGCTCTTTGATCATAGCACTTAGTAGATCTTATAGATCTAACGTCTAGTAATATTGATAAGTAATGATGGTGGCCAACCTGACATAACTTAACTGGAAAACATGTCCTTCATGGATGCTTCAGCTGGCAAGCAATCAGCGAATTGCGCCAAGAAGTCAGTCAGGAATTCATAATTAGGCAGTTGCTCCATCTCAGTGCAGAGGTTCATTTTGCTTCAACTGCACACATACTCTCTTTTAAATGAAGCGGAAAAATAGATGCGATGAGTTAACTTGTCAGCCTCCAGTTCCTGGATCGCGTCCTTTTTGGCATAGCGAATCACAAATTTGAACCGGGGTACCTCACATGACGACGTAAGGCTTGTGCCCAACCCCCCCACCACCCCAAAAAAGAAAACAAAGGAAACAAGTGCACTCACACTGTTGAACAGGTACCAACTTTTTCACATCAAAGTACCTCTGGATCACCTTCCTTGTATCGAAGACGTGTGCGCAACAACTTCCTCCTGCGCCGGATGAAACCATCCTTCTCCAAGATGTCAGAGTAGAAGGCCTAGTCCCAAGGTGTTCACCCAAGCACCTACCCAGGCATCATGGTTCCCATGATTCCAAACTATCGACTGCCTGCCTTGAGCAGGTTGATGTCATCTTCAGCGCTGCCACCAGAAGCCATCGTTGGATTGGAAAAGGGTCACCCAAGCGTGATGCTGGTCTTTCAAGACCGGTGGGCAACTTGGGCCACCAGGTGCATGGTGATTAGGATAGCATGATCGAGAAATAGTCTCAATCATTTTTGAGACACACCTAACATCACCTGACTAGGAAGATAAGTGATGAATAGGGATTCCAAGAAAGATACTTCCCATCCCACGCTTTGAAATCCACTGTGCATCTAGCCTCCATCATCATAGTCGCCAGCACGACGATGCAAATCAGATTCCTCCTCCAGTCCTGGGCCACCGTCGGTGAATGGGCAAAGGAGCCCTATCAAGAACCTGCAGGAAGCTAAGAAGCTTACCACGGAGCAAAGCTCTTTTGCTCCCCATCCATCAGTTAAGACCTCGACGGATGGCAAGTTGAGAGGAAATGGGGGACCCCTGCAAAAGAGGTAGTCCAAACTCATAAATCGTGTTGAGGCCCCCACCATCCACCAGTTAGATCAATAATGTGGATCAGGAGGGGCAAGAGGATATCCATTCATCCGGAGCACGGGAGATTCAGGAAGGCATATACAAGACCCATCAGATATTGCAAATGATTGATGCAAACGTGATTTAATGTAGATTGATCTGTCAATATGATCAAAGAACCACACCGCTCAAGCAAGAATCGGCAGGGCAGATCATGACACCTGTGTGGAGATATTGGGAAATGGTCGTTATTTGATAAAAATGGTCGAGGTTGCTCTATAAAATGGTCGAGTATCAACCTACATTATAAAAATGGTCCTCGACTTCCAGGGTATTCAATGCATGAAAAGACACAATCTATATGTTGAGTTTGAAAAGGGACATTTATTGCCCGTGATTGTTCTTGTATGCTCTTTTTGGGGAGCCTGGATATAGATAATTTTATGGATTTTGTATAGTGAACGATTTCGTAAGTGCTGACTCAAAGGATAGTTGTTTTTCATCGATGTCCCGGAATCTGGGAAAAGTAAACGATTGACCCTAGGGGGTTGAGAGGTATCCTACAACACCCATGCAACATGGTTTAACATGTTGTCGGTGGACTTGAAGTGTGATGCACTTGATCTTTGCATTGATCTCCGACAAATCTTCAAGAAACATGAAGAGACCCCAGTTTTGTGGAGCAGTGGAGAGGGGATCAGCAGTATTGGGGCACTTGAACAGCTTTTTGATGTCAATATATTTTCAATGTGTGCAGTGTGCCTCATGAGAGTTTCAGAATTAGCAGCAGCCTTCATGAACCTTGAGTATATATTGCAACAGCTTAAGCCTGGTACCTTCACACATGACGCATGGCCGAAGACTCCCAGGAGATCCGGCGCCGGAAGACGCTCCTGGACGTGGCGAAACGCGCCAGGAAACCGAAGAAAAAGGCACCGAAGGCCGGCCGTGGGCCGCGGCGCCGCAAGCGTTGGCCGTAACGTGGGTGGAATGGTTTGGGGGTCAGAAAAGGCCAGGATCAAAAAAACACACACACACACCTGTTACAGTGGCTTTCAGGGTTCGATGGGATCAATCTCCGGTGGTTCAGACCCACCTCTAAAAGACATCTTGGGGGTTGTGCCATTTGTTTGAAACGACTGTAGCAGTGGGAAAAAAATCATTTCCCAAGTGATGCAAGCTGCAAGACATGTTTGCTTTCGTTCTGTTGTCGAGGACGAGGAACATCACACAAGAGCATCATGACTAGCATCATGTTTGATTGGCCCGTTACTATTGGCAATTGAAGAACATGATCTTGAGCAGTTGTTCATGTCATTTGCACGGAATAGCATGGCACAAGCGGCAAGTGACTAATTGCAAGGCGAAAGGTTCTTTGTGTTTTTTCTCCTTTGGATTCTTGAGATGTGATGATGATGTGATGTCACTGGTTCCTTCCCTTGTTGCCTTGAATCGCTGTGGCCTGGCCACGCGACTGGTAGGTGCAGGACAGCAAAATCTTGGGCAATTTGATGCTTGGACTGTTGCCACCATGAGGGAGATGCTGCCAACATGAGGGAGAGATACAGCGGCTGGTTTGTTATGTAGAGGCTTGCGCACCTTGCTTCAGTCTGTAAGACTCCGCAAGTGCACAACTTAAGATTCAACCCCCTTACAAGGAGTGGCCATCGTTGCTGCACTAGGGCCTAGGGCCATCGTTGCTGCATGCTTCGTCATGCTCGCGATCGAACGAATCACTCCCCATCTCCCGGCCACGTGCCGCGTTGCGTTGGTCACGCTTTCGACGAGGAAGACCCTGGAGATTTTGCCAAGCCTGCGACGCTTGCACAGATTTGCGAGCCGATCTTCGAGCTTGCATGGTGCAAAGAGTGGCCATATATTTTTGGGGGTTTTGGTGCTACATTTCCAGACCAGGTCAAGCTGGAGTGCTTGAGGATTGAGTGTTCTGTGCACGGAGCTTTCTCCAATCTCCCTGGAAAGCCAGTATAACTTGCTGGAGGCCATCACCATGCATGTTCTTTTTTCCTCAGCAGACATGCGTCTTGGATGAGGGTTCACTTTTTCTTTAGTTGGGCATCATATGACATCATGACGCAACATTTCAATGGGTTTCAGATATTTTTGTTCAACCAATGTACTTGGGATGAATCCCTATTTTTCCAGCTTCATTGAACCACACAGACCGTGGAATTCCGGTGTCGATCCGGACCAGAAAAAACGTTTGTCTATGTCACATCCATCGCTGCGTGACGAAGATGGCGGGAAGCGCCATCGCTCCGGTCGCTTCACCGCCTAGGCCGAAGCCAAGTGAAGCAGAACTTCTCCAAGTCGGCCGTCTCCCGTGAGACGCGGAGGGAACTCTTGGCCGAGTCACCGGACAGCAGAGCCGAACCACACGTAAGGAGTAGGAGCGGAGTAGGAGCGGAGTAGGAGCCGGAGCTCGAGTGCATGGAGTAGGCTGGAGCTTCAGAACCTGCAGTTGTTAAGGTTTTTTTTTCATGGGATCAACTGGAATCTCATTAATGCACAGGCAAAAGACAATGTCGCCACTTCTTTTGAGTGATTGCTACCCTGCCTTGGGAGGAAGAGTTGTGTCAATTCATGTGGGGTGGGTTTTTCAAGAGTCTACATGAACCCCTTCCACTGCCACATATTAAAACATCACGTCCTCCCCTGCTCCCCCCCTTCCCCCTTCCCGAGGGTGTCGTTTCTATTCCCTCCAAATACGGGGACCTTCAAAACCTTCAACACCAACAAGAACTAGAACCTTTTCTTGAGCAGAGATGTTTGCCTACTATTATGGAATAGTAGGCGCCGGTGTGCCCAGGCTTGGGCGGTCTTGCCCGATACGACCACACAGGCAAGACCGCCTCACTTCTCACTTCTCCTTCGCTTTTACAACTTTTTGAGGACAGTTGCCCACCAGAGAGTCCCAGCCAACCGGACTGGCAGAGTCCTATCGTCCCTTGGTTTCCATCACGGAGCGGCCTGGTTGCTCCAAGGTTTGCGATGTTTGCAGAGCTGGATCAATCAGATCTGACGCACTTGGCTCGTGAGTTCCAGGGGCCTTTCTATGTGCCTTCGACTCCATCACTTGGGCAGGGAGGGTGCATCAGCTCGCCAAGTCATGGTTGTTGGATTGTGTATTGTGTGGGGTATTTGGTAGGTTTGGGACATGTGAGAATCTGAGCCGAAATCTATCCAATGGGGTGACTGGTTTTTGTTCATTCATTAGATCACATTAGATCACACGGATGTTTTTCATGTTTGGATTTGCCAAGTGTGACATTCTTCTGCACCTGAGCCTTGCTAAGAAAGTATCCGAGCTCTTAAGGCCGGAGATCTGCGGGCTTGTGTTTGTTCCAACGGATTGCATGCAGAGGCTTATCAGACCAAGTGACATCAAGTGACGCAATCTCCATACCCTCAAATAATACCCTCAACATGGAGTTTTCGTTTTATTTTTGGGTTCTGTTTGAATCTATTTGGGAGGAGGGTCACACGTACAAGGGACGATTCCGCAGGCAGTGCCACATCGGCTCTCCACCTCCGCCAAGACGCCAATGAGGTGCCGCCTGGCGCGAGCCTCTTCAATGTCGGTGAGACCGGGGACTTTCTGCGACTCGGACAGTGTCGACTCGAGGGGAGCATTGCTTCGCCGAGGTTCAGAGCCAAGTGGCATGATTTTCTGGCAAGAAGGAAGCTCTAAAAGATGAAACAACATCATGCCACATAAATCATGATGATTTTGTGTGGCATGTTGATTTTGGTCACCAAATTCTTGATGAGGGAATCTCTGAAAAATGAAACTCTGAGTCGGAGTCAGATGAAACTCTAAGCGTGTCTTTTGGAGATGTGTTTTGTTCCTGTGCGTTGTGCTGTTCTGCCAGGCGCTGTGAGTTGTTGTCTTAAGTACTTTTTTAACTTTTAACCATGGGTGCTGGTTTACTTCTTCAGTGCGTCGGTGACAAAATGCCATTTATCAGTGATTTACTGTCTCAAACTCTCACTTTGGACGAGCATGCCTGTTGACAAAAAGGAAACTCAGCAGAGCCTTGAATGTGTTTCCTGGAAAAAAAACGTCAACAATACATATGGGAGTCGGGCTTTGCTTTGCTGCTTTGCCGCTTTGCCAATGTCTTTTTTTTCCTGGCTTGAGCCAATTGGACAATGCTTAGCTGGACGGTTTTTTTGAGCGCGGGGCATCCAATCCACAAAAGTGTTGCAACCGAATTAGGTGTTTATTTTCATCCCAGGCCCAGTCTTATGGGGTCACTGTTTACATCCCTGTTTTTTTTTCTTTGGGAAAGGTTGATGCAAAGCAAAGCACTCGGAAAGTTTGTGGTTCTTGTCCATGACCTTTGGAACATGGCCCGCGGAAAGTGGCGGCGGGAAGTCCTAGTGGCGAGCAGCGAACGTGAGGTTTGTACCAGCAAAGCGCTCAGCACTTCCTCGCACATGCTGTTCAGGTCGAATCGGATTTGAAGATAAGTTGGGGCTCCTGGCCTTATTACTAGGAACAAGAAGCTACTAGGGGCTCCTGGCATCGCTACTAGGAACAAGGACGCTACTAGGGGCTCCTGGCCTTACTACTACTAGGAACAAGAAGCTACTGGGGCTGCAAGCAAGTTTGCTTTCAATTCCTTGACAAGATGTTCTGACAAACGTACCGGCTCCCAGAGGCACTGCACAGGCAGACCCATGTGATCCCGCCCTCCAGATGTGGAATTTGTAGAAATTGATCATTCACCTGGCAGCCGCCGGCCACCGCACCGCAGCAACTCACATTGAACATGACATGTTCTCAGCTCCTGCTTTAAAGCCATGCAAGTTGCCTGGCAGGGTTGCACCTGTGCTTTGCACGGGCGAAACTGCGTTCAAATGATTCAATGTCATCCAGCTAAGGTATTTTCTCTTGGCAGGCGAGGTGGTTGCCCGACGTGGTGCCTTGGCTTGCGGTGATTTTCTCGGCTTCTAAAACGGCCCCACTAAGCAGCAGGCCACCTCTCTCTTCTTGAACGCACTGCCTACCCACCATCCCTCGATCTCCGTAAAAAAAGGACAAACACTCCACCGACTGTCCACCTTGGACTCCACTGTCCAACCCGGGCCCTCGCAAAGGCAAGCGCGAGCTCCGGCGCTACCGCCGTGGCGGCTTCCTCGGTGAAGCAGCGCTTTTTGGGGCCAAGCCCACGCGGCGCATCTTCTCCGCCAGCGTGGCCCGCGGCGGGCAGGGCTGTGCGTTGCTGCGTGACGTGGCGCCATGATGTGGTACCGGGGGGAACAGAGGAGGGAGGCCTTGAGAAGTTGGCGTTGCGATGGGATGAGTTATGTTATAGGTACTCTATAATATAGTATAACTCATGAAGTTTGATGTAAAACAATGCCGAGCAGCTCATGCCAAGCTCCAACACACTTGTTTGTCACTGTATCGGTCCCATACATGGGGTTGGTGAGTGCCTCGTGGGTTGTGAGTAGGCCCAAGAAACCAGTGCCGTGGGTTGTGAGTAGGCCCAAGAAACCCTTCTTCTTTGCCCCACCTCTACAATCCCTCTATGCATAAGATGCCGTATATGGTTGCCCGCCCCCGGGTGTAAAGAGTAGTCCACCGTATACCTCTGTTCCGCAGTGTTTTGGCTGTTCATGTCCGCGGCGTGCCGCGGTTGCCACGGGCGGCTACAGCTACCCGCGGGAAGTTCGGGGTTTTGCAATCCCTGCTACGTGGTGGTTCGGCTAGAGCGGTTGGTGTTCACCCGTGCTTCTCCGTACGCTGCCCAGGAGCTCTACCTATACCTGAGGTCCATTTGCGACAAGGTTGAGGCTGGTTGTGAAAAGTACGAGTCAGACAAGACTGCTGGACTTTGCGATTCACTCGGGGCACCGATCCCTAGCGTGAAGGAGGTACAGCAAGAAACCAGTCCTGGACCCGACTCTTTCACGGCGGGGGAGCACCCTGGGAAGGCAGACGGGGAAGCGAGCACCTCGAAGAAGCAGGTGAAAGTCGAAAAGGAATCCGAAGAAGACAAGGGTCCACTTGCAGAGGCCGAACCCAGTCGGAAGAAGAAGGACAGATCACGCCGACGAAGGCGCACGAGATCAAGACCAAGGAGATCGCATAGTCGCCGACGGAGCAAAGCAGCAAAGGAGACCACACGGGGGAAACGAAGCCCTGAAAAGGAGGAAGAGAGAGCAGAGGAAGAACCCCTCGCAGAAGAGGTTGAAGCAGAGGACGAGGCATCAGCCCTTGACGTGGAGGAAGCATCAGCCGAGGAAGTACACGACGACGCAGAGTCAGACAGACGATACAGCCTCACTCGAACAGGTCGAGGCACTTCGAGGCCTACATCGAGGGAGCCATTGCCGAGACGGCCACGGACCCCATCGCATTCGCCTCCAGGATATCTCGAGGAGGACGATCGAAGGCCACCTAGGTGGAAAGGTTACAAGCACGTCCTTCGAGGACAGTATTACTCCAATCACGGCGCAAGCCGTAGCAAAGGAGGAAAGAAAGGATGGCGCCGAAAGTAGGACGCAGGCCCGCGGTGGGGCCGAGGATGCCACGGGTGCGTCATCGGCCCGCTGCGGCGGGGGAGGAAGTACGGGGCAGGAGCCTGTCAGAGACCGGAGGCTTTCAGTGGGAGATCTAGTTCACGGACTGGAGGCCGGAACAACTGCCAGTTTACTGGCAGGATTATGGAAGAGACCAGAGACGCCTCAGGGGACTACTTCATGATCAAGCTCATGGGCACGGATTTGGAGTCATTGCTGACGTGGGGCTCCAGCAAAGGCCTGCTGGCGAAGGTGCACCTATGCGAGGAGGAGTGCCCCGGGGAGTCAGCGGGACCCGGCCTCATCCACTGCAGACGACTACGGGGCATTGGAGCCCTAGGAGAGTTGGCAGATCTCCCATGGAGAGACGTATTGGTGAGCGCGGTCGAAGTGGGAGGAGACGAGCTAGCAGGTCTTCGAGAGCGCATGGAAGGACTGCCAGCTGCTGCGGCCCCGCCCGGAGGTCGACACGAGAAGGAGGCCAAACGAGACGAAGGAGGAAAGAAGGAGAAGAAGAAAAGAAAAAAGAAAAGAGGAGAAGGAGAAGCTCGAGCACGCCCAAACGGAAGTCAAGGAAGAGAGATCGAAGCCCGTCAGAGCTTGCAAAGGAGAAGAAGGCAGCAAAAGAGGAGGTGAAGGGTGGAGAGAAGAAGAAACGGGGCGAAAGCCCTGCCGAGACCAGTTCGAGCTCAAGCCCCAGTTCAGAGAAGGAGTTCGAGGCGGTGACGCAAAAGGTCATGTTCGGGCGAAGCGGACTCGATCCCTCCAAACGGGTTCGCAATCGCCTGAGGCGCCGCGCTCAGCGATTCGCCAGGAAGGCGGGTCGCGGGAAGTCAGAGAGCGGGTCAGACAGCAGCAGAATCGAAGCACCTCGAAAAGGGGAGGCGATTTTCGGAGAAGCTCATCGCATTCGGGCCGTCGGGGTCAGTTACCCTGGAGTACTGTCAGCTCAGGCGATCGAGGACATGCAGGAGCTGATGCTACTAGAAGCTGGTCACGAAGCCAACCAGCCGGAAGGCTGGGTTCCCACGCTCCTGCGTTATTACAGACAGATGTTATCCAGGAGAGTCTCAGGACCAATGTCGAGGGAACTACACACCCTATGTGCGGTGGGCGACCTGGTGTTGAGGGGGCAGCTACCGGCTGCCCTCGACACGCTGATTCAGAGAGTGAAGTCGCTCGAGGCCCAAGTCAGCGGCCTCCCATGGGCGTCAGCCCAGCGGCTAGAACTCTTGCCCAGCGACATGGCCACCATCTCCTCGAGGCAGGAGCTCAAGATTGCAGCCACGGAGCAGAAGGCGGAGGCGCAGGCGCATCAGAGCAGCACTTGGTGGCCAAAGGGAGCTGGGAAGGAGGCACCGAAAGGAGACAAGGGCGAGAAAGGAAAAGGAAAAAGGAAAAAAGGGAAGGACAAGCCAAAGAAGGACGGCTGAGGACAGACCGCCCGGGGTTGGAAAGCCCTGACAGTATGAGTGCAGCCAAGATGGAAGGTGAACCGGTTGGGACAGGGCGCAAGAGCCCTGAAGCAGCTGGCTATGATCGGGGTGGGAACCCTGAAGAGAACGGCTTTTTTGCGAGCCATGTTGGTGGCGCCTATTTCAAGCGGTTGACGCCAGCAGATGCAATATTTTTCCCGTTTGGGCTCTCACAGGAGGCTGCGCGAGACAAACCAGCGCGGCAGGACCTGTCATCCCATATGACGTCGGGGCACGACCCCATGGAGTTTGAAGAAAATGACGTGTGTGGAAAGCAAGTTTGGGAGCCGGGGGATCATCTTTTGGACGGGATGCGGAGGGTTTCAAAGCTCTGCAGCCAGACCACGGGAGGGAAGAGTCACACCCCGGGGAATGCTCGAGGTAATGACACTTTTCCTCTTCCAACCCTCCGGATCCAGTTGGTTTCACTTTTGATGCCGCATCAACTTTGGTGTATAGATTGGTTGATTGCTGTATGCTGTGCATTGAACTCTCTTTGGGGGTGCCATCATTCCGCCTGTCAGGAATCACAAGCAGGAGGACCTCTTCATCCTATGTCGGAGTTGCAGGCCCGAGTCATCCAGGGGCTGATTGAGGACGTGACTCGGATGAAGGACATTACGGAGACCACCGATTCTTTTGACTGGGGGGATTTTTTCCGGACACGAACAATTGACTATAAGGGGGACGAAGTCAAGACAGCGCTGAGCTTCAAGTGGGCAAACATTAGACCCGCTCTACCGCAGGAGATAGGCGTTGCTCGGTTGACCGACATTTGTGAGCAGGGCTGTCGTTACTATAATTATTGAAAACTTTCCAGAGTTCTTGAAGCCTCGCTCGGAGTGGGGGAAGTGTCGGAAGTCGCGGGTGATGGTGCGAGATCAAGATTGGCATGAGGTAGCACAAGGCTTGATGAAGGCAGGCATTTTCGGGGTGGTCCCTGAATCAGAGGTGTTTCAAGTGGGGTCAACATTGCTTCTTAACGGACTATTTGGAGTGGAGAAAAACGAAGAGGCGGAAGGAACACCGATCTACCGCCTGATCATGAATTTAGTGCCACTCAATGACATATGTCATGGCATGAGAGGCGGCATACACACCTTACCCCACTGGTTTGGGATGTCACTTGGTGATTTCAAGCGAAGACCTGCGGTGTTTCTTTTATACTCTGAGTCTGCCACCCTGCTGGTTCCCTTTCCTTTGCTTCAACAAACCCCTGCCTCCTGATTTGGTGCCGCCTGAGTATGCTGGTCAAGTCTGCTATCCCTGCTCAAAGGTTCTGCCTGTGGGGTTCCTAAACAGTGTACGGATCGCTCAGCACGTCCATAGGGTACTCGTGCATCGCTCACAGCAACGCAACGGGGCACGAAATACAAGCGGGCAAGAGATCCGAAAGGATAAGATTTTGCCTGCGGGGCAGACCGCGTGGAGGGTGTATTTGGACAACTACGACCTACTGGAGAAATTCCCACGCGAGACCCTGGTGGACCCATCGGGGCCGGTAGCTCCAGAGGTCCAGGCCCTGCGGGAGGAATATTTAGCCTGGGGGCTACCGCGACATCCGGGCAAGGCAGTGAATAGACAAGGACTCGCAGAGGTGCAGGGAGCAGTTGTTGATGGGCAGCGGGGTATTGCATTCCCTAAGGGGCAAAAGTTGTCCAAGTACATCACCATTGCCTGCAAGCTCATGCAGGAGACACGTGCGACGCAAAGGCAGATGCAGGTTGTATGCGGGGGTCTGGTATATTTCTCAACCTTTCGACGACAACTGTTGGGAGGTTTGAACCAGGTGTGGAGATTCATCGAGTCCTTCAACCATGGGGGGAGGCATTCGCTTCCCATTCCATCCGGCGTGAAGGTGGAGATCTACAGGTTCTTGTGCCTCATTCCTCTATGTCGCATGAGCTTCCGGTTGACCTTGAACTCAACCGTTACATGCAGTGATGCCTCAGAGCACGGAGGCGGAGTCTGTGTGGCAACCGGGTTGACTATGTTCGGGCGGCAAGTGGCAGACGGGGCGGTGCCCTGTGAGGTTTCTGATGTGCGTGGAGGCCGGGTGTTGAGCATCGGTCTCTTTGATGGGATTGGATGCCTGCGAGTAGCGCTGGACCTGTTAGGATGCGAAGTAGCGGGGCATATCTCGGTCGAAAAGGACCCTGTGGCCAGGCGTGTGGTCGAACATCCTTTTCCTGGTATTCTGCATTATCCCGATGTGGTGGAGATCACGGAGAAGGATGTGGTGCAATGGTCGTTGACCTACGGTCAGATTGAGATGGTTCTTCTCGGGGCGGGACCGCCCTGTCAAGGGGTATCAGGGTTAAATAGCCAGCGAAAAGGAGCACTACGAGACGAGAGGTCGTCATTGTTCATCCATGTACAGCGGCTGTCGGAGATGGTCAAGAAGCATTTCCCTTGGGCTCAGACCCACACCATTATGGAGAGTGTGGCATCGATGGACGACGCCGACAAGGTGGTTATGTCAGCCAGTTTCGGGGACAATCCCTGGGTATGCGATGCCGGCTCCCTGACGTGGTGCAATCGACCACGCTTGTATTGGGTGACTTGGGAGCTGGAAGGCAGGCTACCAGAGGTGGAGATCGAGGACCGTGTGGTGAGGCTAGTGCACGACGGCAGTTGGGAAAATGCAGTTGAAGCAGGTTGGTTCAAAGTGGATGCCACTCAGGCTTTTCCGACGTTTACCACATCTCGACCTCGAGCACATCAAGGCCACCGCCCTGCAGGTTTGCATGCCTGTGACCAGGACACCCTAGCACGTTGGGTAGCGGATCGCCACCGTTTCCCACCATACCAATATCTACCCCGACATTGCCTCCAGAATCGCAAAGGGGAGTTCCGAATCCCTTCGATTCGGGAACGCGAGTACATGATGGGGCTTCCGGTAGGGTACACGCAGATGTGCCTGCCAAAGTCTCAGCGCAAGAAGAATACCTCGACAAGAGACTCAGCCTCGTTGGGAACGCATGGTCAGTGCCGGTGGTGACATGGTTCATAGGACAGCTAGTTGGTTCTTGGGGACTTGCCCCTGCCTTGACACCGCAGCAGGTGATGCAGCGATTGAACGTTGAGGGAAACCCTTTTTTGCAGTCGAGGCTGATGAGGCCACCACTTCGTCCAGACCTACAACTGAGCCCGACTACGGAGAGCAGTTTAGTGAACCAACTCGGACGCCTAGTTTCTACAAAAGGCGCAGACCTCATGTTGACAAGCAGCCCTGACGAAATTTCGGAGCACCAGCGATTGAGGCACACCGTGAACCCAAAGATGTGGAAGTGGAAGGTCGTTGCAGGATGGAAATGGTTGGGGCGAACACATAAATGCCCTGGAAATGCGTGCTACCCTGGCATGCTTGAGATGGAGATTGGAACATCGCCGTGAACATGATTGCCGTATTTTGCATCTCACCGACTCGCTCGTGTGCCTCCATAGCATGACGAGGGGGCGGACGTCGAGCAGACGTTTGAGGAGGACACTATGCCGTATCAACTCGCTCTTGTTGGCCCATAATGTAGGAGCCCTATGGGGGGTATGTGAGCACTGACCTCAACCCGGCGGATCGCCCGTCGCGGTGGTCAGTGAAAACTAAGTTCCGCCATGCCAAAGGCCCTATTTGAAGGGTCGACGCAGGCCAGAAGAGCGCATGATCGGCAGAAGCTAGGCACATTGCGGCAGCTTACGGTGCAACCATCTACACGGATTCGTTATGAGAAAGCCCTGAATCGTTTCTTGACCTTCCTGAAAAGTGAAGGTCTCTCTCTCCCAAGTAAACGTGAAAACCTGGACCCTCTTGTGATGGAATACATAGAGCACTTGTGGCTCTCCGGGGAGGGGCGTGGTCTGGCCGCCGATACTTTAGCCTCCCTGCAAGACCATGATGCAAAGATCCGGGGGCACCTCCCTGGGGCATGGAGATTGGTTAAAACGTGGGTCACCCATGAGCTGCCCAACCGAGCTCCGCCCATGCCCGAGCTGATCTTGCATAGCATGGTAGGATGGAGCCTATGTAATAACCATTTCGCATTTGCAACCAGTTTACTCCTTTGTTTTTACGGCATTCTCCGAACCGGAGAGTTGTTGGATGTCGTCCGCGACAAAGTGGAAATTTCCAGCAAACTGCGCACAGTGGTTGTCGCCTTAGGCTTAACCAAAGCAGGGAAGCGTGCCGGGGTCCAGGAGAGCATTTCTGTGGGGCACGATACTGCCTTTAGATTTGTACAGCACTGGGCCTCGTTGGCCGCCTCTCACCAAAAACTCTGTCCAGCACCCGCTCGCTGGCGAAAGCTTTTTAAGACTTGCCTGGAAAGCCTTCAGCTTGAAGCTCTGGAGTTGCGGCCCTACTCGCTGCGGCGAGGTGGGGCCACGTGGTGGTTTTGCCAGCACGGGAATTTAGACCGGGTCATGGTCTTAGGACGCTGGCAAGCTCAAAAGACTGCCCTGCAAGCTCAAAAGACTGCCCGTCTGTACTTGAACGAATCTCGGGCCATTTTGGCCGAAATGAGATTAGGACCCCTTGAACGTCAGTTGGCACCTTTCCGTACGTTTTTTCTGAATTCAAAGCCGCAAACTTTTCAAACACTTGAGCCGTTGCAAGACAACAGACCGGCCTGCCGAAAGCGAGGCGTAGGGGGACGTGGAAAGAAAAAGCAGCGAAAAACAGAGCTGGTGTCCCTTGGGGCCTGACCAGGGTC